CCCATCATGCACCTGTAGAGAGCTCCCCGTGGACAATGTGCTCTGACAGTCCCGTATTGAAAATCCACCAATTATAATGTTTCTTGCTAACCATTTGATGAAACTAAATGAAAAGCACTGCTGACCAAATCAAAACTAGAAAATGAAAATATTTATGTTTTGAAATCATATGAGCTTCAATAAAACAAAGAGCAAAAGTTAAGTTTTACCTTTAATGCCTTCCCAGAAGTCATTACGGTCTCTTCTTACAGATGTGAATTTGCTCAAGTCATGGTATGTACTCCAAATATAAACATATTTATCTTCTGAACCACTTACAATATAGGTAAAGTCATGGCTAAAGATTCAAAGAAGGAAAACCATTACTTTTCTTAGCTGTTGAAGCAACCTCTACAGTAGCTCTCCAGATGACTTGCAGATTTGCAAGTATAATCAGGCTAAGTCCATAATTCAAACCGATCCTTTATTTTAGCAGTTGCAGCTCAAAAAAAATGCACAGTCCTTAAACAAATATGCACTCAGGCTTCATGATGCTCACACAGAAGCTGTTTCCTGCAGCTTCTGACAGAAGAGGGTTAGTCTAACAGCTATGCTCAGCAACAAGAAAAGGGCAGACTAAGTGCAATTTGCATCTGCTCCAGTCTCGAATCTACGCCAACACTGGAGACTCTGTAACACGAATTGTTTATAATACAATCAAGGGCAAAAAAAATCCACACAGTTGGAAGATGAAAGGCATTTCATAAGATTCTAACCAGAAGACTGCATAACACACACTGGCAGAGACAAGACAGTATCTGCAAACCCAGCTCAAAAATTTACTTTTAATTTACCTACTGCATGAATACGCCACGTATCTGAACTCTAACGCTAACTAAACAACAGCCCTTTCAGTAGAGAGAACTTATTTTGAGAAATTGATCTTGAGCTGAGGGGCTGGACAAGATGACCTCGAGGTCCTTTCCAACCTTAACCATTCTGTGAGAAGTACTGGGTCAGCCTTAAAGATGCTTTCGAAGGCCAACAGGTGACAATCAAGACATTATTCCTTAAGCACTGCCAACTCCCTGTGCTCAAACATCCAGGTTAAACAGGCACCCACACATTTTTCCCCTTCAGCTTCTGCAAGACTCAGAGGAAACAGAACATTTGTTCTACTCATTTCTCTCCCTCTCTTTTACTAGCTTAAAAAACAGTATTTCCATGACAGTCACAGTAATATACTCAAACTCAAAGAAGATCTGAGACCAACACAGAGAAAGATGGAAAAAATTTCCAACCCAGATTTGCAGGCTGTTCCCTGGCAGTGATGATAATACATGCAGTGCCTTGGGCAACAGTTGGATGACCAACATATCTGCAACAATATCTGACAAAATAAAGGAATCAAAACCTATTTATCATGGGCGAGAGGAAACGTGCAGTGTCCCGGCCTCACCAGTTCTAGCACAGTTCCTGCATTTAAAGCAATAGTAATGAACATGCACTGTACTGTCCATATGAAAGGACTGACTCCTTCACGGCAGCTCCCTGCTCATAGGCAGCTTTGCCATTCCTGACCAGAGCCTTTAGCTACCTTTGTACCCTGAGCCAAGTGGCATTTTAAAAGATCAGTTTCATGCCAAGGTAAACGGATTATTTAAACAATAGCCTTTGTACTTTGGCTGCAGCATTTTCCAAATCCAACAGCTCCACTGTTGTAATACCGTCTTACCTAAAGCTGGCTTTGATTTGGCTGCTGCTGTTGACATAACCTTTGTATTTCATAGATAAAGACAGATCTCTTAGGTCATACAATCGGATTCTGGAATCATTTGATGTCACTAGTATCTAGAAGTGAAATAAACAACATGTAGGAGTTAAAACCATTAGCATGCCCAAGAAGGAGCAACAGCGTTCATTCATTCAGAATTCCAGTAGTTGACTTAAAGTGACATAGACAAAGAACAGGCCCAAACAAGCAGAGTAAGATTTAGGACAATGCCATTTTTCTCCCTCATCTTCTGTCAATGTGCAGAACACCACTTCACTGTCAAGACCATCCAGACTGTTCTGAACCAGAACAGCTGCTCTTTACTGAAGTTAAATGTGGGCCCAAAGAACAGTCATCAATTTCCAAAAGGTATTTGGGAACACATTCCACAATAACATAGCAGAACAGCTGTTCTAGTGAAGTAAGCTTCTGGAGAGTCATGACCTATCAATCACCAAGTGCAGATCAGAGGCCATTTCCTGCTATATAAACAAACTGTTTTTTTCTTGGTTGACGTGCCTTTGCTTTTTTCACATTTTTCAGATCAGAAGCTTAAATGTACTTAGAAGGAACACAGAAGCCTCTGAAAGCATTATCAAAATGTGTAAGGGCATTCAGCTGATTAGCCCTTTTATGGTACCTTAGAAGTGAAGCAGACTGTAGGTGACTGGTAAGTCTCAAGACGATATTAGCAAAAAGATATAGCAGAGTACAGTCAAGTACTGACCTCTACTTATCTAATTGTTTATGCAACAAAGTTTTTACAACTCCTGGAAAACCGTCACCACCAGATTATGTAGCTTCCTATTTGTTTTCAAAAGAGTTCATACTGAGCTGTGTTTTCTTACATCATCTAACATGCCAAGGCACAGCACCTGATGCAAATCCAAAGGCACTACTGATTTCTGCATCTTCTACATGTCTGTAATTAAGCCATTTCTGTGTCATTGATAAAGAGTACAACATAGGTGATAACAGATGGTGATAAACTACTCTAAAAAAGCCAGCTGTTGACCCCACATCATCCCTTAAGCTTGGAATACAAGTGAAAAGTTCTCCAGCTTTAGATTATTACTTTAATATGCAACAGCATGTTCTTCGCTTGATGAGAATTTGTCTCTCTCACAACATAATACTTCCATTTAGACTGAAGTGAAACAAAAGGACTGGTTCTGAAAAACAGAGCACGCTTGTTTGGATGACAGCTGCTGAGCTTTCAGCATTTTTTCAGCTCCTGTATGAAGTACATTTCCAAATTAATACAAAATTCAAGAGAGGTTAATTATGCCAAAGAAATCTTCACTGAACGCCATCTGTAAGCATTTTCTCACCTCCAGATTAATCAGAGCACAGTGTCATTAAAAATATATATCTTTTTAAGCACTACTTAGTACCGTATTGGTCTAAATCAGCAAAAAGCAGTGTTCATTTTAGTAGTGTCAAAAGAATCCCAGTTTAAGTCAGTGACTACAAACTAGACTTAGTACAAACTTACTAAGCACTAGATATAAATCTCCAGTTCTGAGTTGAAGTTGCACTGTAAGTCCATACCTTATTTTCTCCAGGCAAGGGTTCAATGCCAGTAATTTTCCTTCCGACTCTGTTTCGGCCTCGGGTAGAACGCACGTGTATTTGTGTATGGTACTTCAAGTGCTGGAAAGATATTAAAACATATCCTAATGGAAACAACTGTATGTTGTGGTTTGAGGCCTAGGGGTGGGACAGGTGATCTCTGGGACCCAGGAGGGCCCCAGGGGAAGCAGGTTAGTCCCTTCCCTTCCTCTCCACACTCTTTAAAAGGCGCAGGCAGTGGGTGCTTCGCCCTCTTGCCCTGTGGCTCTGGGTCTTGGTGCTGCAGAGATCAGTGTGCCTGACTCCATGTGGTCCTGAGCGATCCTACTGCCATCTGAGATTTGGGGTTTGTGTACCTTGTTTACTTTGTATTCCTCCCATCTTTGTAGATATATCTACCTCCCTTTGTGCTTTCTGTTCCCTGTTAAACAATATACTTTATTTTATCTAACTTGGAGTCCATGCAAAGCCTCTCTCTTTGAGGGGAGCACACAAAGTTCTGTTCCGTGGGGACCTGCCCTGAAGCCCTTTTCTTGCATGGAACCAGAACACTGTAGAACAACTTTAGCTTGCTTTGAGTTCTAATAGGTTTGGTTCTTGATATTTAAATAAGCACAACTCAAGCCTGTTTGTTATTTAATATGAAAAAAAATACTCTCTCGGAAAGCTTTTACCTCTGTGTCATAGAAGATGCATCTTCCGTCGTATGTGCCTATGACCGCGTACTTGCCATTCTGACAGAAGTTGGCAGCTGTAATCAATTTTGTCTGTCCATCTACTTCATTCCATAATGCCACTTTTTTATCAGGAATGTTCCAGAGTCGGAGTTTCCCATCCAATGAACCACTTAAGAAGTACCTGTCATCCTGAAAGTACACACTACATTAGTCTCCACTTGTGCTATCAGTATGCCCCAATTTCCTTAAAACCTTCCTGCCCCATTCAAAGAGCTTCTCTCCAGAACCTCCCAAGTAAGAGCTCTCAGATGAGTTATTATAATGTTTAAGAAGCCTGAAAAGACAGTTTTTACATAACTGGTAAAAGAAGTTCAACTGCTTACAGATTTCTGATAAGACGACACACATGCAATGTGTATACCTCAAGTCAGAAAATTCTTCATTGTTACCACAGTTACTTTTTACACTCTCAACATAAGCTGGAAAAATACTAACCTTGTCAAGAGCTGAAACCTCCTTTCAGAGTTCCCAATAGCTCTACCTGTTCCCTATGTTCAGGCAACACTGAAAAGAGCCTTTCCTCTAGTTGAGTTTTACTAATATTAGCAAGTTTTATCACAGTATTTTTTAAAAAATCCTAAAATAAGATAGGTTCCAAAGGATCTCTGGAGATCTTCTGCCCATCTTCCCCTGCTCATAGCAAGAACAGCCTCAAAAGTTTGACCTCTAGAGGGTTATATACTGCCAAGTTTTAAATATACCCAAGGATTCTGTGGTCTCCAGACAATCTGCTCAATTTCTTTACAAGTTGTTTCCACTAATATTTAATCATAACATCCCTCATTGAAAATTCTCACTTCACAAAGTTACTATACCAGCTGTGATGATATAGCAAATAGAGAATACACTTTCCACCTCATGCCTACAAATGGTTAAGCCACATGGACACTCCTTCTCAAGTTTAGTGAGGATGAACACTCAATGCTCACAAATACCATCTAATAGTGATATTTTTCAAGCTGTACAAACTCTATTATTTAATTATTTTTAAAACAGAAAATAAAGGGGGAGGACTCTTGTAATTTCAAGTTCTGCCTGTCTAGAAGAAAGAGGGTAACTACACTCACCCTTGGATGGAATGCTATAGCTGTGACAAAGTCTATATGCTGGAAACAGCAAAGACATTCTCTTCTTGATATGTGCCATAACCTGACAGTTTTGTCCATAGAAGAAGAAAGTAAGAAGTAATTCTGCGAAAGAAGACAATGCCATGGTTATTAGCAGACACAAAAGTAACATCAAATACAGAAGCAATCTGCTTGGTAAAGTCTTACCGCTTTTCCCGTTGCCATGAAAATCAATGTTTTATTTGAATTGTCATTACTGATCAGTGGTTTCCTTAAGACCAGTACACTAAGGGTCACTCTCAGAAAATTTTCTGGAAGAATCCCAACAGAAATGAATACTTGGAAAGCAGTTAAAGTATTCAGAGAAGAAACAACATAATAGGCTTCAGAGAAGATGTGACAATTCTCCTGCCTAAGATCCCTCAGCTAGGCTGTGTTATTAGAATTAAAACTGTATTAAATGAGGACAATTAACTGAATAAGCTTTCTGTGAAACATTTTTAAAGTTAAGCACAAGGTAATTCTCTAATGTTCAGACAGATTTATATACATGGCAACTATAGAATTTGTACACTTTGCATAATAACAGTGAAGCATACTGAAGACAAAAGCAGTTAACACCATAAATCAGAAATCACACAGCTCAATGGAATTTCCTCCTACTCTAAACAGTTCGACTTCACTACTAAATACACAAATGCAATTATTACTAGGTTGAGGTTGGTTGTGTGGGATTTTTTGTTTTTAAAGACAACTTTTAATTAGACAAGCCCAAGAAATTTGTTCATTTCATCCCAACTTTTTCACCTGGAATAAGTGTTACCTCTACAAACATTTCCTCTTAACTTGTTTTGATGTATGGTTCCAGTAGCAATCGACAGAAAATAAAACAACAATGAAAACACAGAAGAACTGTCTAGTCTGTATAAGGTGCCTTACTTTAGACCAGGAAAGATCAAGAAGATCTGCTGTATGCCCTTTGTATTTGCAAAACGGTCGCTGACGAAAGGGGGCATTTTTATCGTCTGGGTCTTCATCGACTCCACTGCAGATCTATCAGGGAAACGTACAGAAGGGTTACAAAATGTTAGCTGGAAAAATTAACAAAAAAGCAATTACTGTTCACAAAAAAAACCCCACAGTATAAAGGCAATAAAAATTTAAAGAACAACTCTTGTGACTTTAAAATAAACAGCTCTGCACTAATATTATATAACCAGAGTAAATTTCAAGTACAACCGTGTGTGAAATGTCATCTTGAAATTCCAAAATTGAGAAGCTCTGTATTTCCCACCCATGCAGCTTTTATTCAGTGTGATAAGTTTGACAGCAATTTAAGCAAACATATGAGGATAAGCTTTTGGAACAAAGTCTGTTGATCTTGTAAACAGCATTTCACTTTACAGTATACACTGGGAGCTAAAGTTTCCATGTTTCTAGTGCATATCAAGAATGGTAACTTCTTACTAACTTTCCATATGGTATGTAGAACATAAAGAGGTGACTGGTCAGTGATGACGTGGTTACACTAAAGGCAAGTTGTGCCTGACAAATTTGGTGGCCTTCTTCAATTAGTGGATAAGAGCAACTAACATATCAATCTGAACTTGTACAAAGCAGCTGAGACCGTCCCACATAAAATCCTTGTCTCCACATTGGAGAGACATGGATTTGATGGATGGACCACTCAGTGGACAAGGTTTTGTTGGATGGCTGCACTCAAAGAGTTGTGTGGTCAATGGCAAAATGCCCAAATGGAGACCAGTGATGAGTGGTGCCCCTCGGGGTTCAATGCTGGTGCTGTTTAGCATCTCTGACAGGGATGTGGACAGTGGGATTGAATGCACCTCAGCAAGTTTGCTGACAACATCAAGCTGAGTAGTGTGGTCATATGGTGGAGAGAAAGAATGCCATCCAGAGACCATGACAGGCTTGAGAGATGAGCCTGGGCAAACCTCTTGAAATTCAACAAGGCCAACTGCAAGGGCCTGTGCATGGGCTGAGGAAATCCCAAGCACAAAGACAGGCTGGGTGGTGAGGGGATTGAGAGCAGTCTTGAGGGGTACTGGTGAATGAAAAACTGAGTATGAGCCAGCAATGTGCACTCAGACCCCAGGAAGCCAACAGCATCCTGGGCTGCACCAAAAGAAGTGCAGCCAGCAGGTCAAGGGAGGTAATTCTCCCCCTCTACTCTACACTCATGAAACCTCCCCTGGAGTCCTGAGTCCAGCTCTTGGGGCCCCCAGCATAAGAATAACATAGACCTGCTCAAGCAGAAGGAGGAGGGCCATGAAGATGATCAGAGGGCTGGAGGAAATCCCCTGTGAGGACAGAGAGTTGGGGGTGTTCAGCCTGGAGAGGAACAGGCTCCAGGGAGACCTTACAGCAGCCTTCCAGTATTTAAAAGGAGACTACAGGAAAGCTGGAGAAGGACTCTTTATTAGGGTCTGTAGAGATAGGACAAGGGGTAATAACTTTACAGTAGAAGAGGGTAGATTTAAATGAGATATTAGGAAGAAATTCTTTACTGTGAGGCTGGTGAGACACTGGAACACGTTGCTCAGACAAGCTGTGGATGTCCTCTCCCTGGAAGTGTTCAAGGCCAGGCTGGATGGAGCTTTAAGCAATCTGGTCTAGTGGAATGGGGGTTGGAACTAGATGATCTTTAAGATCTCTTCCAATACAAACCATTCTATGATTCTAATAAAAGATCCTTTCACAATAACTAGATGCAAAATAAAAAACCCAAACTAACCACAAGTTCCTATACAAAACCTCTCCAGAAAAAAACCCAGAAACAACCAAACACCAAACCACACTTGAAACAACATCCCTAGTGTGTGTGGCTAAGCAAGCCTATTCACTTACATAAGGTAAATGAATATTCCTGCCCTCTTCAAGGCCCCAAGGGTGCACATTAAATAACTCAACTACTGAAAGTCTTTGCTTAAACCCCAGTTTTGTAATCCATTGCTTACACTACCAAAAACCAAAAGCAGAAAAAATCCACCTTAAATAAATTAATTTTAACGGTGAGCTTACAGAAGTATCTGAATCTTCTACAAGTAAAAGTGACTGATGGGAAGTATTAAGACGTGTCATTTTAGTCTACACAGATGTGAAAAATCTTAACTGATCAGGTTTTACTATGCTTCCAAATATCCCATTTGGCATCAGTTTGGCCTTCCGTAGACAAGACATCATTGAGTCAGATGTTAACAGGAAGTAATGCTCAAAGGCAAAATAAAAAGCCAGGAAATTCAACAATGCAAGTGGTTTTTCATCCCTTCAGCATTTCACTCAGAAATATCTGGCAGAAGGCCACAGGAAAGCTATGCAGAATTTTGTAATGCATCAAGTGTAGGGACATACTTCCTTGTACCTCATACACATGTGGCATAACAGTATTTGACTGAAGGTATCTACTCATAAGACAGTCTATGCCTCAAGGACACAAGCCAAGAACTCTTCAATGTGTGTTTGGATAAAGGAACAATGAAGATTTGGCACTACAGAGCACGACTCCCCTCTTCCCCTCCCGGTGTCTAGTGTACCTACCCCTGCGTCAGTATCAGACTTGGAAGAATTCAGACTCTCTTGAGATGGGGAGGGAGAGACACGTCCTAGAACACAGGCAGAAGCACCACTGTCAACTCTAAGTTCCCAAACAACTACAAGTTCTACTGCTCTAGAGCACTAGTGATGCATAGAAATTACCTTCTGTGTTGTACTTCATTCGCATGTTATTGAAATAGTCAAAAGCATTCTTTAAAACCCATATTCTTACTACGTTGTCCTGTCCTGCAGATGCAAGTAATCGACCACAGTGGGAAAACTTCATTGTCCAAACAGCACCCTGTTAAAAGAAAGAGATAATTTTTAAAGTTACCTATAGTGCCTTTTTCCATTCAAAAAAAAGCTGTCTATAATGTCAATCAACAAGACTTAAGACATACACAATACACCACAACTAAAATAAATTGTAGATCAAAACGCTGAGAAGTCATTGTTAAAACTGGTGGATTGTGCAACGTACTTGCAAAAACAGTGTAAAAGAAACAGCCAGCACAGGGGAGATTACTGTAGGAGAGGAGTTAGGTGAGCTCAGCACTACCACTACCACAGCATTCTACGTAAACCTGGCACGGTTAGTAACAGTCAGCCAGCCAGGGCTTGCAGTGACTTACAACCTGCTACTTGATTTGTAGAACTAGCAAATATCTGTAGCTGCATTTGAAATTAGCACAAGCTGTGCTAACATGTTTTCTTTTTTTTTTTTTTTTTAAAGTAGAAATTGTGCTTGGTTACATCGATTCTGGCAACCAAAATGAGTAGCACATGCATTTGTTTAATTCAGAATTGGCAGGAAAACTTTGCAAAGCCTGTGAAGACAATTCTTTCTCTATTGCAAAGTTCAAAGATTCAGTAGTCGACAAAACACAGTACCACATGAGCAGAATTCAATTTCCTCCAGTTTTCTAATGAACAGTCATTAGGGATTTTAGGATGCTTCTGGGGAATTTTCTAGGGAGACTAAGAAGTCTAATACTGGAAAGATGGAAACTAACTCATAAGGACTATCAGTAGGAGTGGAAACTATCCACTAGTTATGGATAACGAGCTTGAAATCTCTACAGTGATTGCTGTAGGTCAGTATCCTTATTCTGACCCACATATCCCATTAATCTCTCCCCACTTTTGCCTCTACAACCTATCTAGCATTTTTGTTCGATATTTGTGTTCAAATCTCTAATAGGCAGAATAGTTTATTTGCTGCCGAGTAGGTCAAACTTGCAGCTTTGTGCTCAGTTCTAGCAGTGGAAGCCTATTTCAACCCAAATTTCTAATTTCAGGAACCAAGAAACCAAGTACCACTCAGTACCACAACTCTTCAAGTAAAAGCTCTGGAGAATCCCTGAAGCCTGAGTATCTACAGACTTTTTTTTTTTTTTTCCCTGAAGATCTGATCAAAATAATCAAATTTTCATCTCTTGCCAGAATATTGTTTTCCAGAATGAAACTGCTTGAAAATGAAATTTTAAAGAACAATAAACCTGACAATCATTTGTAGAGGTCACCAAGCAGATGAAAGCTAAAAGTTGAATAGATTCAGCAGAACTACAGATTTTCTGAGACCTACCATATGCTCTCCACTGAGATCCTGAACAACTTTGATTTGTTCAAAATCATAAGGTCCCTTGAAGCCATGTGCTGCTTTGAACTTAACTGGTCTCGTATATGGCATCCCTTCATCATCACTGGAAGAGGGATCATCTTGATCTGTATGGAAGACTAAAAGAAGCAAATTCAGCAGTACATACCACAGCATACATTTAATCTATTAGTAAATCTGACAATACGATTGAACAAAAACGTGAATTAGAAATTTTTATAGGCAATTTTAAGATCTTAAAGCAAAACAACAGTAGTTGCATCAAGTTCTAAACACATCTACACTAATTTCAGGTTGTCGCAAATCCAAATACTGAACTCTCAAAATAAGAACTGCTATAATTTTTCTTCTGCCCCTTTCTTTGCACCAAGACTTGCATTTATCACATCTTGCACTAAGTGACTTCTGTCAGTTTAATGCATGCTGAAAACTATTGTATTGGTTTCTCCTGGCTGAGTACACTGAGCCGGCCCGGTGACTTGCTCACAAAGCATAAGAATTGCAGAAGAGCTCGGGTGAACAGCCAGGGGCAACGCAAGGTGCTGAAGTGCAGCAGTTCCACGGCACTTATCTCAGGCTGTGCTTAGACTGGCTTACTGCAGTACTAGACATCTGTCTGGAAGAAACGCTGATGAAACAAAAAGGGGAGAATTCAGTTGCTGGTGGGAAATCCTCTAACAAGAGCCCAAGCTACATGAGAATTCAAATGGTGTGAGAAAACAATCTATTTTATTAATGTCATGAATAACTTTCCAAAAAGGTTTACATTTTGATAGCCAAACAGCTTTCTATCACACAAAAAACCCCACAGCATTCAACTGGTTTAGCTGAAAAGGCCTCTCAACTATTACTTTACAAGAATTCATCCTTGTAACACACTAGTCTCAAAATGCCTACCACACTACAAGCCACATCATCAACCGTACAGTGGTAGAACACAGCACTGTATGTGCCTCAGCCAGCTGTGATTCCTAGAAGCCCCAGGATAAACAGACTATCCTAATAAAAAAAAAAAGTCAGTGTCACTTACCTTCGTCTCGAACACTCTTAACTTTATTTACAGCACGTTCACCATACTCTTCAGCAAGGTGCTTTGCTCGCTTCACAGATTTGCCAAGGAACTTTTTCAGCTGGGTCCTTAAAAACAAGGACCCTTTTTCAACACACAACACTGGCAAATTCTTATTTTTTGCTATTAGCAAGCAACAGTTTTTATTTGAAATGCAGTATTCTCTCTTTCTATTATTGCTGCTTAAACATTTAATTTGCCGGCAGTCATGCAATTTTCAGTTCAACCGCAAAGCAGTGGGCTTATGTATATTCAGGCATCAATTGTACTTAAAGGTAACTTGTTTAGAGGTCAGAAGGGGAGCTTCAGCTTAGAAAAACAAACCCTGCCTTTTCTTTATAGGGACATGAAACAGCATCTTACGTTTTTTGTTTTAACCTCCCTCCATCAGAATCAGTTTGCTGTGTCTGCATTTTGTCTTCATCATCAGATTGTGCTGCATCGTTACTAGGAAACACAGAAGTGATTGTTTAATACAAAATCGTAATGAATCTAAATGGAATGAAACATTAGTAAAGCAGGATCTGCACTTTAGGTTCCATCTTTAACCCTCCATGTAACATACTGGGAAAACATGGATGCAATGTAATAGAACAACAGAACAGCTCTTTCAATTATTAGACATCTTGATACCAAAACTGTATACACTTCCTACATGCCAAAGATACAATACTCCCTTCCACAAATTTCAAGCTTAAGCTTATTGTGACAATTTGAAAGCTAAAAGCAGAGTGAATTACGTGACTAAATAGAAGTAACACGCCTCCTTACTCTCATAACTTGCTTTCCATAGATCAAATAAATCAATAGTGGTTAATTCTGATCCAGAAGTTTGGACACAGAAGAGTACACATCTACAGAAGTGAGCTTTTCAATGATAATACAGCAACGCAAAAAAGCTAAAAATTGTCTGATGTATAAATTCAGATAAATCTAGGCATTTGAATAAATATCCAGACTGATAAAATGTCCTATCATTAAAAAAACTACATTTTTCTATCAAAGTTTACAAACAGACTTGGTTTCAAACACCAGAAGAGCTTAAGGCTCTGTGGAGAACAGGAAAACCTCAAAGTAGCCAGCTATACTGATGCAATAGATCTTCACAGGACCAGTCTACTAAATTAAACACTGAAAAAGCTCCAGGAGGTGGTAGCATGAACAACATGCAGTCCTTGAGCATAAACTGTGTATAATTTAGTATAGAAGTAACAATATTTAGCACATCAAGTGCCAACTGCAATTCACCTGGACTTTCAGACATACCTGCCAAATTCCAGCAGTGCCATCAACTTTTAGTTAACTTAAAGGAATTCAATATACAGCCTAGTTCATAGGGAACCAGGAATTATCACTTGATTTAGTCAGAAACAGATGGATTGGAAGCCTCTTTATTTGCATAAAAGCAGCCTCCATGTATGCAAAAACAATTAGAGCAACAGTATCATGAAGAGCTAAAAGCTATCATCATACATACCTGACATATTCTTTAGTTCTCCTCATGATATGCAAAGTTAGGGGATTAATGCCTGTTGGCAATTTTTCTTCTGCCAAACTCAGGGGTATTTCTTCACCTGTATCAAGGTTTTTTATCATTACACTTGCTAGGATTTCCTATGAAGAAAATAAGATGTGGACTCAAGATTACTTCAGTGGACTCCATAGAGCAAAACAGAAATAATCTGATTTTACAAACTAAATTAATGGAAGTTCTGTACTATCTATTTTACAAAGATTAAGTTTAAGTTTTAGCATGCTAGCACTGATCAGTGACTATATATGCAACAATTACATGTCATCACAAACTGCAGATTCGTAAATCAGAAATGCCACTATAGAAGCACCATTCACTGCCTGACATCTTCCATGCTAATATCAAACATACGTAATTAAAAGACAGTGAAGCCTTCAACTATCAGACAGGCTAACAGCTGTATGCAAATTTAGTTAGAGACAACGTTTACATACGGAGAAAAAGCATTTAGACCTAAATAATACAACACGAAGAGGATTTTTTGGAACATCTCATGAACACATATCTCTGTTTAGAAATGGTTAAAAAAAACCCTATACACACATAAACACAAATAAAAACTGGCAGCAGCCCAATAACATCATGAGGATTAATGGAAGTTAATAACTGAAGAAACTATTTTCTAATATTGGGGAAAAAAAATCCTCCTGTTGCCGATTCCTTCCTCTTTTAGATGCATGACAAAACACCAAGTTTGTTTTTACATTGTGTCCTGGGTTTGCCTAGGCTAGGGTTAATGTTCACACTGGGGCAGGCCGCAGCTGGGATAAACAAACAAACTGACCAATGAGATATTCTTCCAATGGGATATTGGATACCATACTGACATCATGCCTGTTGTGTAAGGCATGATGTGCTGGCCCACAGCAGCGTGCCTTTTCAGCGTGTGGCTTCAGCGTACGGCTGGAGCAGGGAAGAAAGGATCTTGGGTACCGGTAGAGCCTTGCCGTTTATATCACTCACTTTATGTATTATGGCATTAGCATGATCCTTAGTACTGCTGTTTCTTCTCCCTTTGTGTTGTTCTGTTAAATGGTCCTTATCTCAACCCACAGGTTTTCACCTTTTTTCCTACCGATTCTCCTCCCTTAACACAGGGAGTGGAGGATGCAGTGGGCAAGCAGCTGTGTGATGTTTACTTGCCAGCTGAGGTTAGACTACAACACACTGAAATTTTGTAGTGTGTTTATATAGCTAATGTTGTGGTTTGAGGCTTTGGGGGTGGACAGGTGACAACCAGGACCCGTGGGGAAGCAGTTATTGCCTCCCCCTTCCTCTTCCACACTCTTTAAGAGGCAGGCAGTGGGTGCTCCAGTCTCAGAGAGCACAGCGGGGCCTCCAGCCACACAGGTCTGAGCAATCCTGCGCCATCCGAGAGCAGGTTTTGCACAGCTTGTGTTTACTTTGCTTTCCTCCCATCTCTGTGTATAAATCTACCTCCCGTCTTGCTTTCTCTTCCCAGTTAAACAATATATTTTATTTTTATTAACTTCCAATCAGTGCAAAGTCTCTCCTACTCCTGACTTCCCTTGTTTATCTATTCTCCATCTGGGGAAAACTAAGGGATAGGGAGGGCGAGCACAAATTCTGCTCCATGGGGTCCTGCCCTGAGCCCTTAAATGGAGACAGAACAGCTACAAATAAACTTACAGCAGTTCAGCTCTATTACAGCTCATGCTTTCAAATGGTAATACCCTTCATGACTCAGGAACCATACAGTGGTCAGGTGCACAAAGCCAGCATTTTCATCCCTGGTCACAGCTGTAGTGGTTCCGAGCACAAAGAGTGGAGTGGAGCACACTACTACAATTCATTCAATGGACTGGAAAAGCAAGCACAAGAAGGTACTACCTACGGAACCGCATTCATCCATACCTCATCTGTGAGCTCTCTTCCAGAATTAGACCTAGGTCTCTGTGGTCCAAGTACTTCATTTGTTGTTTGGCCATCAGCTGCTTTCCCATTTTCCTGAAATTTTGCAGACATAGAACATGTAATCTCTGCTGTAACACTAAAACAATAGAAAATTTTAGTAATTCCGTTTATAACAATTTCCCAATACCTGTGCAGTGACTATTTTATCTCCACTAGTTGCACTTGCCAAATCCAATGAAGGCTGAGAATCTTTGGGCATGCCCTCTGTCACTGTACTTGGAGTTAAAAGACCACCAGCTGTGAAGTTCTCTCGAGAAACTGAAAAGAAAATCATATTAGAAAGAGGAGTGTAACAACTGCCATAGACAGGCTACACAGTGTCAGAAACCTAACATTACATTTACACTCCTCAACACCCTGACAAGTTTGTGTGGGTTTTTCTGTTTTGTTTTGTAAAAGATCATCTGTCACAAAATCTGTCTTTATCATTTTTCTTCACTACGATTTCTTCACTGAGGGGGGCAATTGCCCAAGGAAGTTGCAGATGCTCCATCACTAGAGGTGTTCAACACTAGCTTGGATGGGACTTTGAGCAACCTGGTCTAGTGGGAGGAGTTCCTGCCCATGGCAGGGCGGTTGGAACCAGATGATCTCTGAGGTCCCTTCTAACTCAAGCCATTCTATGATTCTATGATATTTCATATATAGAACAAGGCACAAGCATGATTTCACAACTAGTCCTCTCAAGTATTTTTTTTTTCTTGAAGTAACCCAGGACTACTCATCTTCATGAAACCTCAGTCTACATCTTTTATTTCTATGCAAATACTGACTGCGGACATTTTACCTGAAGCATGTAACTTTTTTTTAGTTTCCCTATTGAGAAGGCAACCTCTCCTTGCTACAGCTATTTTGGTACAAGAAAGTGTATGAGCTAGGAACACTGGTAATACAAAAGAGTATTTCTCCACTGTAAGAAACTAAGATTGTTGAAGAATTTTTTTCCTCTCATTCAGACATCAACTAAACCACAATCATAACACTGCATGACTCTTCACTCAAAACACAAAAATAGCAACCATGTCAATAACTAAACCCATCTAAAATAGAATACTTGCCTTCTAAAGCAGGTTTTTGCACTTCAAAATCCAGTTCGCTCTTCTTCTTCCGGGGTGGTGGAGCCGGTCGTGCAGGTGGAGGTGGTCTTGGAGGAGGAACATTTGTTGGAGGTGGTGGCCGTGCTGGGACAGGCTTCTTTGTGCTAGCAACTATATCAGGTTCTACAGTAAGCTGCCTTGGGGGTTTTGCTGGAGGCATTTCTTCTGTTGTGGAAAGGTCTTTGGTAGATAAATCTGAAGCCACTTGTTCTAAAGTATTTGCCTCTCTCTTCTCTGTTATGTCCTCATTTTTTGATGTTTCTTCTTGGGCTTCAGTTTCATCCATTTTATGGTCAGTTGAATTTGTTACCTTAGTTAGTTTATGAGTTTTCTGTTCCTCAGAAGTAAACAAAAGGTTCCCTGACTCCAATTCAGTGTCCTTACACATACTCTGACACATTGATTCTCCAGGCTCTTCTTGTAATGACATTTTAGCAGCTAATACTTCTGGAATACTACTAATGATACCTGCTCCAGAAATCCAAGTATTTGCATCTGAAGTTGGAACAGTCAGTTCTTTTCCTCTAGAAGCTAAAGAATCATCTAGCTGTTGTGCCTTCTGACTTTCTTCTATAATACTGTCAATGATCTAAAGAAAAAATTTGAGTGTTAAAAAGCACTGATTTCTAGGGTAAACTTATCAGTCAGTCTGTAAAACACCCACAGGGAATCTTCCACTGACGAATTGTTTTATATACAAAATGTCTGTAAAATTCTGAAGACCAGAACCCGAATGCAAAAATAGGTGTACCCAAAAAAATAAATCAAAATGACTAATTTTCAAGGAAAGGAAAGAAAAGCTGTTCACTCTTCAGAGTTCTCATGCACTGCTAAGTATGATCCTGTAAATTACACACATCATTGAACACTGGTGAACCTTAAATGTTTTCTGAATGCTTAGTATGATTTTTATCCTTTAGAGGAACATTCTTACCAACATTAATGACAAATTCTAATCTATGTTAGTTTCAGGATGAAGACCAGTTATTAAATTATCTAATCTTTCTAGCATGATGCTGGAAATGTAAAACAATATTTAACTAACCTCCTTTGAATCGTCTTGTTTCATTTCTTGTACAAAGGTTTCATTTCCAGCTTTGTGTAGTTTGCTGTCCATATCCTGTGGAAAAAAGACAATAGCACCAAGTTCTACAGTAAGATGAGCTAACCAAAAAACAGCTACAACAAATTAAATAGCACAACGGACAAGAATTCTGCGACATTTTCACTCCTTACTGCTGTCAGATGTTTAAAAAATAATGCATGGTACACATGAAAAGGCTTTCACACCACCTAACACAGAAAGCCTGCACACTATTACACAAAAACTCTAGTTATTTTTAAGAGGTTTCAACCTCAACTAAAATAAAATTGAAGGTAGCATCAAGTTTAAAGAAACATACATATCTATTAATCTGCAGCAAGGAAAATCCATATTAAAATATTTTATCAGCTTGTGGGAAAGGATGCAAGAGCTGCGTTATCACCACATATAGTAGAAGCTTTTTTAGAAATTTCCAGATTAAGTCAGGCAGATCTATCAAGTAGTCACAAATATGCCTTTTTGGTTCTGACACAGTCTCTTACATCCTACAATTATTCCTTAAGCACATTGTCTAATTTTGCCATCAGTCATCCTCATGAAGATCCTTCCAAAATATAAATAAACTGCAGCAGAAAAATTAAATTACTGGATTTAAGCAAATAAACAAGAACTTCTTCAGAATATCTGGGTGAAAGACTGCATGAATTTTCAAAGCTGAGTATACTATTTATTCTCTATATATGTATAATCAACACCAACAGGACACTAAACTACTGATGTGAAGTCAGCTTGAAATTTAAGAGGTATAGCTAAGATGTGCAAACAGCATCAACACTGTCATATCCTAACAAAGAATTAATATAATATTCACTAAAGGTGACCTCATGTGCCAAAATAACGTAGTAAATACTTGTAATAGTTTTAAGTCTTAATTATTTTTTGAAACAGAATTAAATAATACTTAAGAATATTAGAATTAGATTACACTAATAATCCTAGGAATATTAGAATCAGATTACACTTCAGGCATGTTAAGTATGGATATTCTACACAAAGTTTTAGAACAGAAAATATTTAGATATCAGCAATATCTAAAGAAGAATCTGATGGAATCCATGTAGTTGGAAGGGACCTGTAGAGAACCTGTAGAACTCAAAGCAGGGCCAACTACAGCAGGTTGCTCAGAGATGGGTTCAGTCAGGTTTTGACTGTATCTAAGGATGTAGACTGCATATTGTCCCCATGCAACTTGTTCTACTCTTTGACCATCTTGCACTATTTGGTGACTAAAGCTGCACATAAAAGCTTGTATTTGTCTCACAAAAGAGAAAAACCTCAAAACTGATCTGAACAACTGAGCTTAAAAAAATCAAAAAACAAACACTTCTCAGTTGGTTTCCTGATTTGAGAGAAAGACTTGCTGTTCTACCCCTCCCTCCTGTCAACAGACACAGAACTCCCTTCTGTTGGAACTCAGCAATTCTCAACTGTCTCCCCACAATGTTAAAGCTCCCAAAGGCTAGCTGTTATTATTATAAACTATTTTTGTTAGGCTATTAATTTAACTCTGCTTAGACAGCTTTTGATATTCACAAGATACCTAATCTCCCTATTAAACAGTTATTTGAAAAGACCTCCCCATATTTTTTTGGACCTTGACAAGATTTAGAGTGAATGTCTAGTAGAGATATCTAAAAAAATTTCTCCTCAGGCTTTTTTTTTTAAGGCACTCAGCTAGTCAAACAATCTTTATAGCACAATAACATACTAGGCTTGAAAAATCCATGCAACTCTTTAAACATCCATCTTTGAGAGTTCTGACCTCAAAACATGGCCTGTCATGCAGACACAGCTGTAAAGGTAGAAACAGTCTTCTTCCTTCTCCGCTCCCTCCTCCTCTTTCCACTAAGTTTTTATAACCTAAGTAAAAGTTCTCCTTTGTTTTACCTCTACAATCTATCTTCAAAGTATGACAACTTAAATACTTAAGTATAATCAGCATCTACAGAAGCCGATTATATTAATTTCTCATTTTGTTGACATTAAACTCACACACCTGCTAAACTTTGGACTTAGGAAATATTTCTTACCCATTCCAAGACAAACTACACCATTAGTCACACACTCACTGAGCTGATATGGTACCAAGTAGAGAGGCAATTACTTTTTCCACCTTCAAAAACATAGCTTTGAACAAGTGACCTAGGGAACAAGTGACCTAGGGAAGGTTTCAAGTGACTTCAGGAAGATATTTTAAACAATAAAGAATCTACAAGCAACATGCAAAACTTCACAACTAATAATTCAGTCAAGACATTAAAGTTAGTGTTGAAGTTCATTGATTGCTCTGAGTTTAGTCAGAATTATAGGGCAACACTTCTTGGAAGGCTTACACACGTCATACTTAGTCATTAAAGGAACATTAAACAACACAAAGTAAGGGCTAAATCTCTGTTCCATAAGAGATACTGTAAGATATGGTATGACTGTAAAAAGATTTTTGCTTCAGAGCAGAGTGTTGCTGAGAAACCAGAAACACTATCTTCCCCATGGTTTCCCAATGCTTTCCAGACAAAATATCAAGCCTTCTTTATTCTATGCTAAAGTGTTGCAGAGCATCACCTTCGGCCCTTCTGAGCTGAAGAAATGTGTTACTTGTACAAGGTTCCAGCTCCTCACCTATGTAGTATCTGTCAGATTCAGGTGCTCTGTCACTATGCACAGATGCAGCATACCAATTACCTGCGTGGGAAGTGGCAACGCTGCCTCATTAAGCTAAATATAGTGTTTTATCTTCATATAACCTAGAGGGGAGGCTTTTGAAGTACAAACATTAACATTTTTCTTATTTTGAAGACAGAAGAGAGCAAAGTCAACTATTTCATATAAATTAAGACCAAAAACCAAGTGCTGCAGAAGCTTGCTTACACAAATCACTTGAAAGAAGGAAATCAAGCAATTAAGTAGAGCTCAATTAAAGTGCACATATACTTTTTGGAATAAAATTAGCTTCAAGACATGTTAACATACCCTAAATAAAAGTTGGAACTTCCAGAGACATAAGCACAACAATTGCTACCTACAAAAAAGAAAGCCTGTAATTTCCTGTCTGCAGATGTTAGGGCTACCACAGTACATCTACTTTAGGTAGAAATATTCAACACTTCATCAACAAGCATTTGATTGATTTTAAAAAGAAACTCACCTTCAATACATGGGATCCAACTTTTGTCGGTGACCTGTTAGAAACAGAACACAAACTTGGGTAGAGCTTAAGAAAAAAAGAAAATATCTCTTGACAGTAAGCTTCATATTAAACAGCAGAGTCCTCCTTTACAGTGAATACATCCTTGATACTTTACACAAGTAACAAAGTGAATGTTCCTCATATCGTTCTTCTACACAAAAAACTTCAAAATAGTTGTCCCAGTCTACAATGCCCAGATCCACAACTTCTACAATCCCTGCAAGTTTCTCAGCAAAATCTTCTAGAAATCATATTTCTATCACTCTCTTCTAATAAACTGATGCTATTCCAAGTACACATTTAAGAATATTTCATGCTACAGAGAATTTAAAATTAGCAGGTACAGGGAGCACAGGGTGGACATCAAAGAAACCAAAGTGCTCAGAAAGCAGAAGTACAAATCATTTGCAGCTTACTAGAGCAAGTGTCTGAACCCTGATCTGTAGAATCAACACTGTCATAGCCATTGTGCCATTCAGCCTCCCTACTTGTGTAAGGTCTTTCTAATCATGGCCCTCAGTATAAATACATTTACATTACAACAGCAAGGAACTAGTTTTGTACTACTTTCCAAAATTCACACTCTGAAACAGTGAATTTGCATTAGCATCCACTCACACATAACCTCTTGCTTCACTAATTACATGAAAGAGTAAAGTATCTTAGGGGAATTGTATCAACTAATTACTTTTCTTCAGGTCACCACTCAATCCAGTCAGTGAGCAGCAAACTCTTACTATATTCTGAACTAACATTTTCCACAAGATTTTCATATTTCTAGAAGATATTTAAATATTGAGTCACACTGCTTATTGTGACTCAGGACCTTATTTCTACATAAAGAAGTTGAAAGGTTGGGCCACGTGATCTTCTGAGGTCCCTTCTGACCTGGGCTATTCTATGGTTCCATTAGTTTGTCACAAGCAGAGACAAGTTACAGATTACTTCCTTAAAACCTTAATACCAAGGAACTACAACCTGGATTGTACAAGCATCCCAGCTGGCCACCAAGGTCAGTGACACTTGACAACTTTGAATATCTTCTTGTAACAAGCAATCAATACAGACAAATATAGAGATCTCAGCCTAATTTGCCCCTCCTGCCTCCAGAATGCTGGGTTCAAAGGACATTACATCCTCAAGAAGAACACTATTTCCATTTCAATTTTTAGAATTTCAGATCTTCCCTTTACTCTCCAAAAGCATTTCATCACAGAGAAGATTACATTTCTACAGCAAAGTAAACAACGTACAGTAGGTTAGTATATAAAGGCTGTATCACTTGTAACTAATTTAACACCTTAAACCTAAATGCTTCTGTCCAGACAGTGGCACTTCACATGCACAATGTCCGTAACACTGTTTGAAGGTATAATCCACCAAGAAGGTGCTAACCGCAATGTGCACAAAAAGAGCAAATTCAGTATTTTGATCTGAAAAACACACACATCTTTAGTCTCCCAAAACATATTGCCAGGAAAGGCCACAGCCCACATTGAATTTCTGGTTACTGAAACATTTTCAGCTCCACTATTAACTCTTGGATTTACTGAAAAATAGTCGCACAAATGTGTGTCAGTTCATTAAATCCAAAAGATGACTGACAATGAAATGTATTTATAATTACAATATTAATGCCCAGCCTTCAGCAAGGTCACCCTTGGGTCCTACCATACCCACACAAACACATACTTTTGTTTTCTCCTGTAACACTTCCTATCAGTTAGCCTGCCTGTCAATTCTGGTATAGGCAAACCATCCCTTCGCTGGTAACACAAAATATTAGGTTCAAAAGACTTTCCTACCCTTTCAGACTTCTTCAGCTAACCATTTTTTTTTTTTTTTTTTAAAAATCACACTCAGACTAAAGCAGATATTACTTCCCAATGCTCGAGTACTAAAGGTTACAGAGCTAGCAGGTGTAGAATGTAATATAGTGCTGGTAGCTTCAACATGTATGCTCTATGTCGCGGTGAAGATTTATCATTGAAATTACATGCTTTCAAAACATGGCAAAGCTTCGACAACTACTTAGCAATAACACCACCTTCAGGTCAGTTTATAATATTGAAAAATTATTTTAGTGGCTTGCCTGAGATTATTTGAGCTATGTGTTTACAAGCAGCATCACTCCCTTAGTGTAATTCGTTGCAGCTTATGGGTACTCCATTTATAAAGACAAAGTCAGTCACAGAGTAAGCTGGATAACTGATGCCTCTTTTAGTTCAACACTACTCTGGAATGGTCTTGCCTTCCCAACCACCTGGAGTTACTACATCTCTCCACTCCCCAGTTTTACTTTAAGGTCAAGGGTTTTATGGATGCAGTATTTGAAATGCTTGCACCTTTTAAAAAGTATATACAGTGGCAAAAGTGTCTGAAAAGATTTATAAGATCAATCCAATGATCAAATATTGACTTTGCTTTTAAAGATCTGTAGCTCTACAGGGTTATCAGGCAGAACATGACGTGCCACAGAAAACACAAGGCAAAACATTCATTTTGTTGTCTAGTATGATTGCTTAGTAAATAGTGGGACTTAAAAATTGGAAATAAAAGAACTTGTAGACTGTATTTCACACAAAATACTTTTAACAAGTTTTCTTACATGATACTACTGGAACACCAGTTTAACAAATGAAGGACTCAAGGTTATCTACAAAGATCAAGCAAAATTCAAAGACAAATCGCATTTCACCTGCATAAACATAACTGGATACCAAATTAATCTGAAAGTCAAATAAACCAATTAAGAACCTTTTTTTATACTCAGCTGTCAAATTCATCCTCATACTGAGCAGACTATAGGAAGCTGGCTTTCCCACTATTGGGTAGCTCCAGTCTAGTACCTATTTGAAGTAAGTTTTATATTTTCAACACATTGTGGCCACGTTTTGTTACAGAAAACAAAACATTCAGCCCTTCAAAAAAACACCAATGATGTGAATGACTGGCCTTAGGCAAATCCCAGAACCCCACTGCCTGCTCTCCTGGGAGGATGCACATTGGTACAAAACAGGTGTGCTAACAAGCAAATGGAAAGAGGTTTAAAGTGAATGTATAGATGTATAGTACCAGGACAATGTACAGAGCACACAGGTACTGAGCTCTTTGTTAAACCTGTATTTACTGCTGGCCTTCAGCTTGCAGAGGCACATGATGTTTTCCTCCCTCTAACCTATGGCTGGCCTAGAAGCTACAACTAGTCTTACCACAGCTCTCTGTGGCAGCCCACACCTTCAAACCCATAATGATCATTACTCCAATGAACTGCTCGGGTTGCCCTTGGAAAGCATTTGGGAACTGTAGCTAACTTAGAACACTGAAACCTGTCTGCTGTACTGCAAGCCACTACAGTAATACAACTAACACTTCGCACTCCATCTGTTTGCTGCCAAAGTAAGTTTTGCATGTTGGCTAAAATATACATATATGAACAAAAAAAGTCATATTAAGTATGTCCCATGTGTCAACAGGGCACAACTTAACATTTTCTAGTTTCCTACATAGTAAAAGCACTGAAGCAACTTCAGAAAGACAGGACTACTGAAGTTAGAACTTAATGTTAGAACATTTCTCATTACCTACAACACCACTTTAATCCAGTGCCTTTTGTGTGGTTTCTCATAACAATTTTTAGTATATGAGTTCATTAGGAACAAACTTGCCCCTTATTGTTAGGCATATGATGTTCAAACTATTAGGTTTGGCAGTTCTTGATTTCAGAGTGGGTGGATCACATTTCTTATAAATAAAATATAAGAGGGTCTGTAACATGCCTGTATCCACATACAAGTGTTCCTTACTTCATCTTTTCCTTGTCTCAAAACTGACATCCTCCTCCATGGGGACGGTTCATGCCTCTAAATTTCAGGGTCTCCTTCTAAATCTCTTCTGTGGTTATAATCTTTCAGAAGCAGAGTGACAGAGGATAACTAAGGGCATCTTCTATCACACTACATCTTCCCATCCACTCCTCTGGCTACACAACAGATGTCTTCACTGATCAGTGCACAAAGGGACCTAAATCTTTTTCCTAGGTTCCAGAAAAGCATACAGAAACAGACATGCTTTGGGACCTAGTTATCCAACAGATGGACACTCTCCACACATCCTGTCAAGAGCAGAATCACACCTAAAAGACCCGATCCACAAGAGAAGTGAAGCATACAGGCCTAGCCAGAGAGGATACAGGCACCTGCAAACATCTGGCTTAAACACACGTCACCTCACAGAAGTCATCAATGCACGAGAGCTATCTCTGTCTCATGACCTCTGAAAGGAACATGTTTTATTAAGTTCTGTAATTTTTACATACGTTATATGTGTACTTGAGGATGCAGATATGGTGCTTTTGTTAAGAGGGTGGCTTAAGGATCAGTTACCAGCTGACCTACACTAAGAATTTGGAATTTACATCCATGCTGAAAACTCTGCTCTTGCACATCATGAGGCAATTAATGGAACAAATAAATAGCAAAGAAGTCAACATTTTATATAAACTGTCATTCCTTTTGAAATTTCTGTATCAGCAGTTATTAAACCTTCCCACATGTAACTCGTGACGGGGGGGAGGAGCTGCAAACCCACATTTTTAATGGGGGCAACTATAATCTCCACCACTTCGCTAAAAACTGGCTATAGTATATGTTGCCCAAAAGGATTCTCAAGTTGTTTTGTTGGTCATCAGAATGCTAAACACACAAGGAAATGCCCCAAACTGCACAGGGCAATAGGCACTCCTTTTCAGTGGCCTTTTCCCCCATGAGAAGTTTTTTGTTGTTGTTTTTGGGGTTTTTTGCTTGGTTGGGTTTTTTTGGGTGGGTTTCGACTCAATGCTATTACACATGGATGGGTCTCAAACCCACAACTTACAAGTCTGCTTCCAGGAAGCATCCAATGTAAATGTGATATTAGCTCTTAATAAATCTCAAAGTATATTAAGAGAAAATGCTCCCCATATTGTTAGCACATATTCAATAGC